ACCAAAAAAGTAAACGTCTTAGAGACTTTATTAGTCTACGTTTGCCATATGGATGATCACAGTCATGGTCGGGAGCTGTGCACAGCGCATTTTGGTTTTTGTTCCACACTCCACCCCCCTCCCCGTGGGGCTCTGGCTCATCAGGCCCTGAAGGACTTTTCTTAGCCCAGCGAGATGGCACACCCCTGTAACCTCAGCACCCTGGGAGGCTGAAGCAGAAGGATGGCAATTTTGAGTCCAACATGGGCAACTCGATGATTTAGTGAGACCCTGTCTCATAAATACGAAAATAAATGAACAGGCTAGGGATGGGGCTTGGAGTGAAGGCCTGGGTTCAGTCCCCCTATGAAAAACAACCCTAAGAAGTGAACTTTTCTTCTTCGTTCTCAGGGAAGGAGGAAACAGATGATGTTTAAACAGCCAAAGGATAGGCTTAATAGCAGAAGTGACTGGGCGTGGTGGTGCACGCCTGTAACCCGAATACTCAGGAGGCTGAGGCAGGAGGATCCCTGAGTTCAAGGCCAGCCTGGGCTACATAGTGAGTTTGAGGTCAGCCTGAACTACACAGCAATACTCTGTCTCAAAAAACAAACAACAACAAAAAGAGAAAGGAGGGGGAGAGAGAGGAGGGGAGGGGAGGGGAGGGGAAACATGCCGCGCTGCAGGCTTCTTTCTGCCGGCTCAGCCGGTTCTCCGTCTCAGGGAGAATCTGTGATCAAGGCCGTGGGTCCTGGGTGCAGACCTGACCTTTCTCCCCGAGGCCTCGGAGCCCTTGCTGAGCGCTGCGTCTACTCATTTCTGTGGCTCCCCTTGGCTCCGTGTCCTGCTCGCTGTCCTCTGCTCCCCAGGGTGCGGCGACAATCACAGGACCCCTGAGCCTCAAGGGCTGTCACTGGCCGACACTCAGCCCTTTTCCTGGCTGATATTTTGGGCACCCTCCCCCCAGTAAGGAGCCTCAAAATGTCAGGCAGAGAGCTAAGCTCCGCTGAAGGGATTTTCTTTTTCCTGATACTGGGGCTCAAACGAAAGGCCCTCACACTGAACTACATCCTCAGCTCTATTTATTTTTATTTCTATTTTCTGGAGACAGGATCTTCCTAAGTCACTATGGAGCCCAGGCTGGGCTCAAACTTTCAATCCTCCTGCCTCAGCCTCTTAAGGGCTGGGGTGGCCGGGCGGGGTGGCACAGGCCTGTAATCCCAGCACTCGGGAGGCTGAGGCAGGAGGATCGTTGCGAGTTCAAGACCAGCCTGGGCTACAAAGTGAGCTCAAGGCCAGCCTGAATTGCACAGCGAGACCCTGCCTCAAAAAGACAAAAACAAAAAACAAAAACAAAAAAACTGAGGGCTGAGGTGTCAGGCAGGCGCCAGCATGCCCGACTCACTGGAAGCAATTCCTGTGCAGAACCCTGGCGGCAGGTTCCTCAGGCGCGCAGCTCAGCGGGCTGGGCACAGTGACGGTGAGAGTTCCGTCCCCGCCTGGGCCCACAGACCCGAGGCTCTCAGCCGGGAGAGCGGCGCACAGCTGTGTCCCCCAGGGGGATGACGGCACCGCCCTGAGCTTTCCGCGGCCAGCCCGAGTCCCGTAAAGCCGTCTGCTGCCCCGTGCCCGCCACAGGTCCAGACCAGCCAGCTGAGCCAGCGTCAGCCCCTGCCTTGCTTCTTTGTTTTCTGTGATTCGGTTTTTATTTGGAGTTAATTTTAGATTTAAGGAAGATTTGCAAAGACAGCACAGAGTCCCGGTGCCCTTCACCAGCTTCCCCAATGCCAGCCCCTTACGGAACACGGCGTGGTTTTTTTCCTAACCATGGCATTTCCATTGAAGTTAAGAACTCACACTGGAGCCTGGCGGGGTGGCGCACGCCTGTCATCCCAGCAAGGGGAGGCTGAGGCAGGAGGACTGCAGAGCCTGGGCAATTTAGTGAGACCTTGTGTCAAAATAAAAAAAAAAAAAAGAAAAGGTCCAGGGATGAAGCTCAGTGTGAAAATCCTGGACTCAGTCCCCAGGAAAGGAAGGAAGGAAGGAAGGACAAATGAGGCAGGTGTGGTGGCGCACGCCTGTCATCCCAGCACTCTAGAGGCTGAGGCAGGAGGATCACTGCAAGTTTGAAGCCAGCCTGGGCTACATAGTGAGATCCTGTCTCATCACAGCCGGCTGTAAACTCAAGCAGATCCTCCTGCCTGGGCCTGCCAAGTGCTAGATTGACAGCCTGTGCCACCATGCCCAGCTTAAAAATACTCCCCTGCAGCACAGCCTCAGAGAGGCCTGCAGGACATGAATTCCTCCAGTCTGCATTCACCCCTCCCTGAGCCCAGCCCCAGGCTCTCCGCCCAGGTCTCCAGCAGCTCTGCTCTAAGACCTGGATCCTTGGCCGGCACCTGAATCGCTCCAGAGACCCGAGAGCAGCCTTCTTCTCCCTTCCCTTTGAGCCGTCCCCGAAAGCAGAAGTTGTCGGGAAAGGACAAGCACCAGGATGCAGCCGCCACCCGGATGTGACTGGGGACTGCACTGCCCAGGTGCAGTCAGAAGGGAGAGGCAGGAGCCTGTCAGCTCAGCACCTGGGAGGCTGAGGCAGGAAGATCACCGTGAGTTCAAGGCCAGCCTGGGCTACATAGTGACACCCTTGGCCTGGAAGAGTTACTGAGAGTGGCTGCCGCTGTGACAGAAGAGCTGGAATTGCCTAAGAGAGAAAATGGGGCCAAGAATAGAACTTAGACAGCAGCAGCTCCTCCGGCTGGGGTAGGGGAAGGAAGCCCACGAAAAAGAGAGAGCGGGAGGGGAGGGGCAGGACTCGATTCTGAGTGGTAAAATGAGCCCAAGCGAGGAAAACAGAGGGAAAAGGAAACATACATTCTTTTTTCCTCTTGTATTTTGAGACAGGGTCTCACTGTGTAGCCCAGGTTGGCTTCAAACTCATGATGACCCTCCTGCCTAGGCCTCCGGAATGCATGTCTGTACAGTATAATCCCCGGGTAGGGGGTGCACCCCTGTCATCCCAGCACTAAGGAGGCTGAGGCAGTAGGATCGTCATGAGTTCAACGCCAGCCTGGGCTACATAGAGAGGCCCTGTATCAAAACCGAAGACTGCATGTTCATGAGCCCGGGGTGGTGGCACACGCCTGTGATCCTAGCACTCGGGAGGCTGAGGCAGGAGGATCTTTGTGAGTTCAAGACCAGCCTAGGCTACAAAGTGAGCTCAAGTCCAGTCTGAACTGCACAGCGAGACTCTGTCTCAAAAAGAAAAAAAAAAAAAAGACTGCATGTTCTGCAGGTCACAGGCCTAACAGCGCTAGGAGCATCACACCTGTTGTCCCACTTCAGCTCTGGTATGAAGAAAATCCAAAATCTGGCACAGCCTGGGGAAGAAATCAGGGGCCTGGATCCTGCGCCCGCGTGCTGCCCCCTGCTGGTCACCGGTTACACCGCAGACGCGACCTTCTGGGAAATGCCCAGGCCCCAGTCCCACGGAGTTACCTGGTGGGTAGGGCTAGAAGGAGAGAGAGGTTTCCTCCATGGCTCCGGAGCAGGAAGAGAAGGAATTGAGGAGGTCAGAGAAGCTGGCCAAAGCAATAGGATGGCGGGCAGTGAGTGGTTACAAATGACGGCTTATAAAATAACATTGGGGCCGGGCATGGTGGTGCATGCCTGTAATGCCAGCACACAGGAGGCTGAGGCAGGAGGATCCTTGAGTTCAAGACCAGCCTGAGCTACAAAGTGAGCTCAACGCCAGCCTGAACTGCATAGTGAGACCCTCTCTCAAAAAGGCAAAAAAAAAAAAAATCACGTTGGGCCAGCGGTGGGGGGCCACGCTTGCAGGCACAGCACTCGGGAGGCTAAGGCAGGAGGCTCGCCATGAGTTCGAGGCCGGCCTGGGTTACATGGCGAGACCCTGCCTCACAAAACAACATCAACAAAATGAAATTGATAAACTGGGGCCAGCTTGAAAAAACACACAGAGAGGGAAAATATCAAGATTGTGCCTTCAAAAAGAAATAAAATATAATAAGTTTACATATCAACACACAAGATGAGTGCATCTTTACACTGAAGGGGGTAAATAATTGCTTCTTAACATTCTTCGTTTTGTCTGTCTGTGCAGGTGTGCACTGGATTGTGAGATCAAATAGATGATTGTTGTTTTGATCTCAAACTTACCTGATCCTCTTGCCTCAGCCTCTGGAGTGCTGGGATTCCAGTGCACATCACCACGCCATGGCTGGCCAGGCTCTCCAGGCGCTCTGTGATGGCGGGCGCACGTGGTTAGAAAGTCCTTTCTTCCTATTTGCTCCTCCAACTTCCACGCACCAGTTCTTCTTCTTTGCCTCTGTTGCAACCCAGACTGGGAACTTGTAGGCAAAACGATCCAGGTAAACGTTGTGCTTCTTTTCTTTTTTTTTTGGAGACAGAGTCTTGCTGTGTAGCTCAGGCTGGCCTTGAACTCACTATGGAGCCCAGGCTGGCCTCAAATTTGTGGAGATCCTCCTGCCTCAGCCTCCGGAGTGTTGGAATTATAGGCATGTGCCCCTATGCCCAGCTTGATTCAAATTCGCTCTACATTATAAATGTATAATGTATACATTTTATGTATAGTGTACACAAAAATGTATAATGTATACAAAAATGTATAATTTTTTCCCTTTTAAAAATGTGGCTTACTTTTTCAAGCGCGTGCCTGTGAGCACTTGAATGTTCCACCACTGGGCCACACCCCAGCCGCTCTCACTCTCTCACCCGCGGCTCTGGCTGAGAGACGATGCGGACCGGAGTGGACAAGTAGAGATGTTCTGCGTCCTCGAACCGACTGCGCTGCGAATGGGCTCTCTGTGGGCTGCGCCCATGCACTGATACAAATAACATTTAAACGCTTTTTTTTTTTGGTCTTTTTGAGACAAGGTTTCACTATGCAGTTCAGGCTGGCCTCGAACTCACAGTGATTCTCCTGCCTCAGCCTCCCCAGTGCTGGGATTACAGGCGTGTGCCACCATGCCCGGCTTAAACACTTAACAAGAAAGGATAGGACGAAGTGTATCGAACTGTCGGACCCTTTGTGTCTCTCGGGAGGCGGTCGGGCCCCCAAGGTGTCCCGGGTGTCGCCTTCCAGAAGCTGCTCCTGCTTGCAGCGAGGGCGGTGTGCGCCTAAGTCAGAGAGCAGTCAGAGTCCCTGGTTCTCCCCAGGGCTGCCTCACAGTCCCCGGGCGATCGGGAAAGGAGGCCCCGCAGTGCC